TAAAAGGTGGGCGTGGTTTGAAAAAATTTATCATGTCACACCTCCAGTGTTGTCCAAATAAGGACCGTTGTCATCAGCGATTGTATGATGGTGATTTAAAAGGCCTAATGAGCAGCAAAAAAATGGCGTGGTTGATGTTGGGGGTAGATCTCAGGGTAGATCTCTCGCGCAAAAATGGTGTGTGTTCGCATGCCAAGGTCAGGTTGATTTTGTGAGTAGATCTGTTGCGTGCAAAAAATGGTGCGGTTAGGATTCTGTGCGTGCGCTAAAAAGGCTCAATTGACACTGAAACGTAATATCCAATGTGAATAAATTTTGTCTATTATAAAGTAATAAATGTAAACAGTCCAAATGTGTAAAATGTTTTTTACATTTGAGAAACTTTGGATCATTGTCCGTTGATCAGGTGGGCTTCGGATCAAATGTGAATAAATTTTGTTTATTATAAAGTAACAAATGTAAATGGTCCAAATCTTTTAAATATTGATCAGGCGTCAGTTCACCGCAGAACTACGACAGCTCCATCAGGGCCTCCACGTTGGCCATGTCGGCATCGTCTAATTCGGTCGCTTCCACTGGTAACCATAAGGGTAGGACTGGAAGGTCTGGCGATCGACGACACGTTTATCAAAGACCAGTCCGTACTGTTTGGTGCGGGGTCCCACTTGGATCTGTTTGCTGGCGGGATTACGAGTGAAGAAGTAGGGGTTGACACGGGAATGTTCCTTCGTTGGTCGAGCTGATTGGTCAACTCTTCCAGTAGGTTTTCTCTCATGACGTCATAGTTGAGTTGTTGGGAACTGCGTACATTGAGAGTTAACCCTCGCACTTTGCAGCAGACTTTGCCGAGTTTGGTCTTGTAGCCGTAATTTTTGGGTCCGGCTGAAGTGAAGTCGACAATGTAATTGTCCACGTCTAGCTCGTTGGTCATGTCACCCAAGTAGTTGCCTAGGGGAATGTCGGCTTGACTGGGTTTGCAGGAGTAGACGACTGAATCGGTGTCGAAGTACAGCACTTGTTGCTTCAGTTGGTCGAGATAGGAATAGAGCTTGAGACAGGCCCAGCAGGTGGTGAAAGCGGCCATGAAGATGTTGACGCGTCCGTTATCGATTTGGTTCTCGCGCAGGTCTACGTAATCCATTTTGAGGACGTCGTCGGAGCAGATCCGGATGGCTCGGATGTCGTGAAAACTGTTGGATACCAAACCAGAGTTGACCTGGCGATGTGGCGGTTTCAGTGTGTTTCTTGTGGAGGTTTTCTCCGAACTTGCCCCAGAAGGATTTGAGCATGTGTTTGGCCGTGGGTTTCCGGCCAGGATTTTTCTGGATCATGGCGGTGTCAAGGGAAATGCCTTCTCTTTCTTTGTATTGGCGCATGTAGCGTAATTTGTCGTCGGGGGTGAGGCACCAGCTGGGGTACCTGGCGAATTCTTGTTTGATTTTTAGCCAGGTGTTGATGTAGTTGGCAAAGAGGCCCTTGCGTCTTTGCTTTGGAGGAAAATGCCACACCTCGTGAATGTGCAGGACGATGTGCCCCTGTTGAATGGCTTCTTGAATTTCGGGCATGCACCAAGTTCCGCATAAGGCGTGCTGAGTCTCCGTGTGCGAGCTCTGCCACGATTTGTCCCACTGAGGAAGCAGCATTTGTTCTTCAATGCCGGAGTGGCACAGAGGAAAGGTGAGTTTACCAGCCTGGCGATGCGGTAGCACGGGATGGTAAAGGTGTGGAGGTGGAAGGATGTCGATGTAGGCCATGCTGAAGTAGTGGTGGATGTCTTGGTCGGTGAGGATCTCGGGATGTCCTATGGGGTATTTGCCAGTCTTGTTGACCCACAGGTACAGGGAAGTCATGTCCACGTATTTGTTCACCCTGGCTCTGGTCAACAGTACGATGAAGACGCACAGCATTGATTCTGCCACCAAAGATGGCATTGCACGGTTCTAGGGGGTCCACTTTCTTGTAGGTGGCCAAGAATCGTTGGAGGGCCTCGTTTGTCTTGACCTCCCGATCCCAATTGCACTCCCACATGATCTTGAGATGGTAGCCGTGGTGCTTGAGAAGGGCATGTTTCTTGAGCGTGTGCTCGTACATTTCTTGAAGCGTGCAATCGGGATTGAGATTGCTATATCAGTCCCAATCACAGGAATGACAACGAGGGCATCCATGCCACAGACAGCCGTAGAACTTGTACACGGTTTGGCAGGTAGGATCGTAACCGCCCACCAGGACGTTTGCCACTTGTTGCTTGCCACCATTGCTGGCATGACGAATGTGGTCTGCACGAGGCTCATGATATCACGACGAAGAAGGTGTTCCTCCCATGCTAGCCACTTGAAGGCCTTGGCGGACTGGTTAGATCGAGCCCCCTGCCAGCCGCAAGGAGGTTTGGAGACAATGGTGTTGGGAGTGAGTAGTTTCTTGCACCAGAACCAGTTGCACAAAGAGGCGACCGTGTAGCATTTTTCCATGGGGTCAAAGCCGGCCTTTTGCTTGAATTGCTGTCGGAATTTCTGGCAGCCCGCTTTGAGGAGCTTGACGCCGCTGATGCAGTAAGCCTCCATGTCCCTTTTGAGATGGAAGATGTAGTTATTGTGGACCTTGTCGGCATACCAGCGCTTGAATTCGGATTTTTTCTTGGCAGACATACCGTCTGGATCATAGGTGGAGGCTGGTGGCCTTGGTCCCCAGTACTCTTGGTTTTCTAGGGTGTTGAAGAGATGAGGGAAGAAACCCTTGGTCAATTCTTGGATGCCGAAGGTGGCAGGAAAGTTGACCAGTGGCATGGGAAGAAAGCAGAGCGAGTCCTTGAGGGTGAGGCAATCCATCTTGAAGGTGAGGATTTTGGTACCGAGGGTGATCTGGTCAGTGACTTCTCGGTGATGATGATAACAGTAGTCAAGGAGAAACATGCCGTCGTAGGCCTTGAGGGTGTGGAAGATGACAATGATGTTGCGATCGTCGCCGTCTTGGTCCATGGATATTTCTTCTAGCCAGTAGAAGAATTGGGTGGTGCAGTCGGGTCCGTAAAAGGAAACTTCTTGGTCCTCTTCGTCTGTCTTGGCGCAGAGGAGGATGGGTGATTGCACTCCCTCCTGGTCCAGGGTGGCTTCATAATCTGCGTAGACCTGGAGAGGAGGATCTTTGTCTACCCGGACATGACGATTGGGAT